CCGACCTAACTCATGGCCAAACTCCTGCCTAGTTCGAATTACTTGCGCTTATTTGATGAACACAATAAATACAATCATGCATCGCACTTATTTAATAATTTGTCAATTTTAATTCTCAAACTTTAGGAAGATGGACTTGTTACGACCAAATATTTAGCCTCACTTCATTTCGAAACTTTGCATGCAATGCGAGATAATAGCAAAAAAAATCAAAAAGTTTGGCGCATCAATTTTAGCATTATCAATAAAAATTGCATAATGCACCTGAATTAGTCCATAGCATCGTCAAATGACAATAATGAAAACCCAGAACGCTTACAATTTTTTTAAAATTTAAGCTCATGTTAAAACACTTTAATTTCAATCACCGAAATTTCAAAATTAAATAGTACTGAAAAAAAAACAATACACCCCAAGCATAAAAATTCTCAAACTTATTTGAATGTTGGAGCATTAACGGTAGTTTTGCGAATCAGCAGGAAAAATCAAGCCTATTTGTTTTCGACTGATCTTTTTGCTTGTGTTTGTAAAAAAAATACCATAAAATAAGGCCACAAAGATATTTCAGAGGACCGATTTTGGATAATTGAAATGAAAAGATACTATTTTCGTCCAGAAATTTTGAGAGATACGCAAAATCATAACTTCAAAGCTAGGCTCTTAACTTTTGCCCGTAACAATGACTTCTACCATTTCTACCATTTTCTGGGTAATTGCTGCTCAGACTGTCCAATAAACATGAAAGTTGACAAATTTATGAGTTTTTGGTCTCTTTTCTGTTTCCATCAAAATTTTCCTCACGAATATTAACAGAAAAATGTGCTGTAATAAATTATAGCAAAATGTGTGAACAGGTAAACATTTTTGTAAAAATAATTTTTTGGTATAAAAATTGTCAAATGAACAAAACCTCATTTTTATAATCAATTTTATAATCGATTTAACGAGGGTGTGGAAAGCTAAAAAAAACACCATGAGCTCTTAATACGAAACGCGTACTGCAACAAAAGTTTTGCAATGAATTTTAAACTAATAATGTAAGAAATAATTAATAAAAAAAATTTTATTGCAAATATTTAGTTGAAATTATTGTTTTCAATTGATTCTAAATCGATTTGAAACAAATTTGTTCTCAAATTTCCACAAAATTTTTGACTAAAACGCTAGTCAACTCTATGGGCACCGGAACGTTCATTAAAAAAAAATTAATACAAAAGTCCTTGTGCAAACGTCCCAAGAACTAGCCGTTCAATGAACATGATATTCAAAACTTAGACATGAACCCAGTAAAAACAAAATTCCAAGATTGTCAAATACTGTATTGAAAGCAAAACTTCATTTGGCAATCACTGCAAAAAGTTAAAAACAACAACTTAAAAAACCAGAAAAAAAGCGTAGATTTTTGTTCATTTTGGATGTTTTTAAGCAAAAACTTAATGGATAGTTGGAAAAATTTCTTAATGCAACGCTGCCACTGGCTTGAGCGCTGCTTTGGCAAATATTCGAAATCAAAAATCTTCAAAAAAAGCTCACTTTATATATCACCAAATGAATTCTAATTGACATATTTTTACTCTCGTAGTCAACCAAAAGTAGACTCTTTTCTTTTTTTTTTACAACAAACTCTTGAATTTTTCAAAATATGCCATCAATTCCAAAATATTTTTTTTTCAAGATGGTTTGCATGGCAAAAAAGCATTTTAAAATCAAATTACTTTTCAAAAAATTTCTTGAAGCACAAAAATTTTAAGCAATTTAGGGTCTCTATAGAATTTGAGGTAGTTCGGAAATTCTATTTAAACCAAAGTCAAGACTTTGAGCGATGGCACAATTTATAAATATTTGGTGAAAAATACTCAACAAAAAACTTGGACTCTCATGGCATACTATAGTTTGTAAACAAATGTAGTGTATCAAAAAAAGTTGTTTTTCCACTGAATAATTCACAACTTTTTTCATGTTTAAATAAAACAGCTGAAATTGATTTGATTTCTAGTGAAAAGTTTGGCCTTCAACTCTTAAAAAACTAAAACTTGGCAGAAAACTTGGCGGAGTTTATAAAGACAGTTGTAGAATGGGTTTTGAACCTGGAACTTACATATTGCCCATCAGGTTGTCTTGGGACTATATTGGATGCGCTTTGAGTCAACGTAACTGTTTGTTTTAAAGTTTAAACAAACAAGCTAGTCCGTCATGTTATTCCTTTATATGATTCACAATTTCAAGATTCAATGTTCGTCATCAACAATTTAATTTTTTATACTTTACACAAAAACTTTCTAAGCAAAAATTTTGAAGGCAATTGCAGAACAGTCAGAAATCTCACGGTTTTTGCCCAGATATACGAGCAATAGTTATTTGTCCTAGAGCTGTGGTGTTTTTGTTTCCATTTCCGAAAAAATTGACGTAATTTGAGCTCAGTTAGTTTTTTTTCAGACAAATTCCGTTTTGAAAACAAAACTTTTTTGATTCCTGGAGAATGACACCTTTAGAAAACAAGCTCGAAGTTTAGCATAAATGTGAATTTTGTACTTTTCATTCAGTACCTCGTCTGCTAAAGATACGAAACAGTAAATCAGTTTAAAAGTCTCAAAGCTTTTGATGCTCTATGATCAAGATGTAAAGGATTTCCTCTCCAAATTTTTTTCATGAAATTATTGTTATTTGATTTTAGGGTTACTCAGCTAAAATTGCAACGTTTAATGCTCGGGCGTTAATCCCTTTGTCCGCTAACGTTGTTTTCAAAACTTTTACGTTCCGACTTTTCGAATAGAATTAAATATATATTTTTTGGTGGATTTTTTATTCAGTCTTTTTTTTTTCGTTTCTTTAACTAAACTTTTTGGCAAAAATAATTTTTGTATATACCATCTAAAAAATTGTGTTTTCCGGTTCTCAAATCTGTGCTCACAATAATTTTTGCTTTTGGGAACTGCAGAAGAGCTTTCACTAGCAGGCCTTGACGAGTTTGTTAAAATTTTTCGTTGAAATTCTTTAAACAGTTATGTATGATCTTTTTTCGTAACATTATTGGGGTTTGAAAGTTGCTAATTCAGCAAATTGTGATAAAGGAACGCGGGACTTATTGCGCTCTTGTAACACGCGTAAACAGCAAAATAAATCGTTCAAAAATTGAACTCGCGCCGCATGTCATTTGTCAGTCTACGATACGAATAGCAAAATCCTTTCTTTTTTTTACTTCACCTAGCGTTTGTGGGGGACCTTTCTTTTACTCTTTCATCAATTTTTCAACCAAACAATTTCTAATTGTACTTCAAGTGCTGTCTACACGATCTGTGCTTCACCCTGATATACTAGCAGTCTTGTTTTGTTTAGTAAATTTTGGAATCGACAATGTGAGTCAAATTGAAAATGTGAGAACGCTTGCGAGCCTCGGTATTAAGATAAACATGTCAAATTGTAAGGAACTCTATAAAAAAATTTTGTTGAGACGAATAAGCACAAAGCAACATGATATTTGTTAGCCAAATTTAATGACATGGATGTTCAAAATATGTTTATCCTTGTTGAGTTCTTTCTAAGGTTGTTATTCTTTACTAGGAAACATCTGAGGGAAATAGTTGAAGATACCCAACATATGAATGCAATTTTTTATACTGTTTTTTTTTCAGTCGTCATCTCTTTAATTTCTGTAATTTCTGTTTTTATACATCTTTTTACCGACTACGGTTTTTCAGTCGTTAGATGATGCTTGTACTCTCTCCGAGTCAACCCATCCCAACCCCTCAACTTCCAATTTGAGATTTCTAGTAAAATCTAGAATTGAAAAAACCTGAACGGCTACAAAAATTATTCAGGGCAAATTTTTGTTCAAGTTAACGTGGATATAGCCCAAAAGATTCAAAGTCACTCTCTACTCGGAAAGCAATTTCTTGAAAAAATTAAACAAAAACGAAAATTTATTTGCACAAAAAGTTAGGCCAAGTCAATAGATTATATATTGTTGAAAGCATAGAAAGCAGGCACAAAATAAAAAGCAAAACCTGGGCAACTCAGAATAGTTAAAAAGGCATTATTTTATCCGCTATAGACAAAAATATATAAATTAATTTGGGCGCAACTTTCAAATTTGTTGATCTTTTGAAAAGTTTTGTTGTCGTTTCACTGCAATTTGACAATTAATCATTTATAGTGAATTTTCCCGGTTTTTTTATAAAGAATTGTCTATAACGGATAGGTCGGAATCTAAAGATCGGTAATAACATTTGTAGCTTTATATAAAATTACGACAAAAGTAGTAACAAAAAGGCATTATTGAACAACATTGAACCTTTTTTTTTTCAATCTCAAATTCATTCACCACGGGACGACATCAGTATTTCAGCAGCTCAATTGACTTTTTTTTGTTATGAAAAGAGGTTCTGTTTTTAGTTTTTCATACCAATTTAGACAATGTTTTTTTTTACAAATCCAGCGCAATGCTAGGAGTTAGTTTTCATTCTCAAATCGAAACCAATCATAACAGCTCATTTACAAGATGATGGTTCTGAAGTAGACGATGTTCATCAGAATCACAATCACGTGACTAATCAGGAAAAACCGGTCGATAACGGCTGCCAAAACCTGCCACTTCACGCCAGTATCTTCTCCCCCATCTTCCCCGTTACTCCCACCCGACCTGGGAGAAAGTCCCTCGTTGTCGACGTTTCCGTTGTTGTCCACGCTGGATTCAGACACCTGAAAAACAAAGAACTAATAATTTATCTGATTGACAAACAAATAATTCGTAGAAAAATTGATTTAAAATTTACATGCTCTACTGAGAGCTGATAGCTCCTAATGTTCCGACTGTATCTTAGTTTTAAAAGATCCAAAAGTAGAACGAAACAAGGATAGCCGTTTGCTTTTCATAACAAACTACAAAAAAAATTCGTTTTTTTTCAAATTTTTTCGTGCGTGTTGTGATGAGAAATATGTGAAGACGTGTAAAAAGTTAAGGAATTAAACATAATCGGCAACAGTTATCTTTAAAAAATCGACAAAAAAATAATATTTTTTTGATTTTTTGAAATTTTTTAGTTGCCAAGGACCACAGCAACTGGTCAAAACCACTAAACCTTTCTCAGCTTCAATGAAAATATTTTGTCTATAATTTCGATCGAGTAGCGCAAAAACTTGTTTTATTTGCTCGAAATTCGACTAAAACTCAAAAATTTTGAAGCGGTTTTTCTTGACACTGACAACTTTTGAAAATTTTTTCAATGTCGTTCGAGTCAAGACTGAAAAAGCTTCAATATGATAACTCATTTGACCTATTCCGAAGAGTAATTGACTAAATCAGTAACTATTCCACCTGATTTTGCGTGGAAAACAAAGGAAGAAAAAACTGAAATACCCAAGACATTTTCAATGGTTGGAACAAAATTACCGAAACTCAAAATTCAATAAGACCTTAATTGAGAATTCAAAAGTCTACAATACAAACCAAAAAGATTTAAAAAGACATACAAATTTGTGCCGTTTTTACCTTAACTTCAGAAAAATATCGTGAAGTTTTCTTAACTTCTGAATGAATCCTTGTAAAGGCTAAAACTCAGGTCCTTCACTGGTTTTTTCATTGCAACAACACTGTTAACTAATAGTATCCGCCTTTTAATATAAATTCTAAAGTATTAAAACTTTCCGATAAACTTCAGTTCAAATTCAAGGCTTAGAATTATATTTTTCAGACAAACTTCAATTCACATTCAAATGTTTACAAATGTACCTTGGACAACTTTTGCCCCTTTCCGCTAGCTGGGGGGGAGTTGTTTCCCTCAGCTGAGGCTCCGTTGGGGGATTCGTATGGGTTGAGGAAGAGGTACTTGAGGTGGGGCGACTGGATTATCTTGAGGAGAGTTGGACTCATGTATTTGTCAGTCCAGTTGTGAATGGACACGACTAAAACACATTTAAACATAGTCAAGAGAGTGTTTGAAAAGTTCCGATGAAGTTCCAAGGAAACTGAAAAAGAAGCGACCGATTCTTCTTAATTTTTTTTCAACTTTCGAAAAAGAAAAATTATAACACTGAATTTCGAGAATCTTTTTGTTATTTGTTAAAAATATTTATTAGCCAAAAATATTTATTAACTGGCCTCTATTATAACAAAATTGAACATGTGGAATAGTAGAACACTCCGCCTATCACTTTTCCACACTCACACTTTTCATTTTCAATTTTGAAAAACTACTTGAACGTTGTCACAGTGCAATGAAAATTGGAATGGTGTACAAAATAACTATTGTGCACGTTTCCTCTACATTTTTTTCGTAACATACCGCATTTAGTCATAATAACACGTAAAACTACTATAAAAAAGAATATATGAAAGATGTGTGGGGGTAGGTGGAAAAGAGCGCACTCACCCATAACGACAACCAATGGCGGTCTTTTGTCGTCTAAATATCTTGTCGTCTTATTTACCCATCACCACAAAAATGAAAACATAAAATAGTAGTATAGCACACACCCATAATGGTGAACAATTATCATTTGTCGCCTTAGTGTCATGTCGTCCTATTGAGCCATTACTGCAAAAATACAAAAGCGCAATAGCGAGTATGACACCAACCCATAATGGCGACTAGACAGAGGAAACTCATGTGCAGTGTGACACTGCTGACGAAGTAGACCATGAGGGGGAATCCAGTGGAGCTGTCTGGGAATATCTCACTGAGGGTGCCAAATGCCACCACTTCACCCAGAAGGAGGGTCACTGCGAAGCCAGTCTTCTCTCCAGATCCAGCAGGCACGAAGAAGGTCAGACCTGCAATGGACAGGAAGAGGATAAAAGTTATCAAGTTATAATTGTGTTTACTGTGAATTGCAGATGAGGTATCAGTAGGTTTTAACGAGTCTGTTTATTGTAAAATTATCAAATACACTTCTCAAAAATAAATAAATTTATCAAAATGATTACCAATAAAGATTAAATCTCAAAAAAGCACATAAAAACACAAAGTAAATCAAATGAAAATTGAAAAGAAACACAAAGAAAGAAAAAAGGATAGCTGGTTACTGTGCAAATAGCGCAAAATGTTCCGACCACATTAATAAAAAGAGTACAAAAAAAAGTTTTCTTTTTTTCACCAAATTATTATCTTTTCTTGTTCATGGAGTGATAAAAAAACTATAGAAACAGGTAAAAAGTCGGTCAAATTAAGCATAATCGACAGCAATTGTATTCAAAAAATTAACAACAAACAAAGAATGAAAAATTATTTTAAAAAAATATAAACTTTTACTGACTTAGCACAACATTTTTCCAATTTTTTTTGAAAACTTTTATTGCTAAGGAAGCGTTAAAAGAAGCTTCCAAAACCAGTTTTTGCTAAGAAAATTTAAGTTTTCTCAGCCCACAAGACCGGCTTTCAAACCGGTTTTTCTCGTCATTGGGACAAATTTTTGAAAGTTTTTTAATGTCGCTCGAATCACGACTAAAGGGCTTTAATAAGATATATCACTCGAACCATTCCGATGATTATTTGTCGCACCTGATTTTACGTGAAAACAAAAAACTAAAACAAACGCGAATATAAAGTTCCTCTTCATTTCCAACGGTCGGAACAAAAAACTAAAGTTAAAATTATAAAAAAATATATTTGTTTCTCGATAGAAACAGAGGTAGGAAAGAAACAATGACATGCAACCCTCTCTGAAAAAAAAACTGATGAAGGATCAGTCCCTTTTTTGAGAAATGCATGCAAACAAAAACGCAGATGCTAATTTGGAAGTTTTTAAGGCGCATAAAAGTTTCTTTGGGGACCCATCTTTATTTGAGATCTGGTTGTCAAACTTTGTAGCAAGTTAACAGAAATAAATGTGGCTTAATTAAAAAAAAAGAGGATAATTAAACATACTCCAATTCGTAAATAATTTAAACAATCTCTTGAAATTTTTCAAATGATGTTCTATCGCCCCATCACCTCTTAGGAAAACCATACGATGGAAGAAGTTTCACTGAGTTTTTTAGGCAATATTCAAGTGACGTTTCTTTTTCCTTTCCCGCCTGCAATATTTATAGGTTAAGTTTTTGTTCACAAAAATCGATTGCTACAAAAATTGGTATGCCGACTAACTTAGATATTCCAAACAATGTAGTCTTCTTGCTTAAACTGTTAAAATTGTTGATTAATCAACAAAATTGATGTTTACTTGAGATGGGGGAGGGGGATGAAAATCCGATTTTATCTACCTGAGAAGAGGTAGAGTGTGACGATGGGGAACACAATGATGACAAGGTAGTAGAGGGGTCTCCTCGCCAGGTCCACAGTCACACGGATGAAGGTGTAGTTGAATCTAAACAAATAAAAACAACAATAAACAGATGCTCCAATGACAAGGCTCTATACGTTAAGTTCAATAAGCAAGTATTTTAAAACATCAGAAGATAGTAGCAATAGAAGGTCGAAAAAGTTTGAAAGAACAAGAAAACCGAAAAGAAGTTGATCGAAAATTTTAGAGCATTTCGAAAAATATCACGGCACTCTTTTTTCTTTAAATTAACCAGGGGCGGATCTAGGATTTTCTCGAGGGGGGGGGGGGCGGATTTTATTTTAGGTCGACCAAATCACTACAAAACTTTTAAGAAACCCGCCGAAAAAGGCGTTTTTAGGCACTTTTTGGAAAATTTTGGCGCGCGCTCCCCCCCCCCCCCCCCCTCAAAATTAGTATAAATTGGCACCCAAGGCGCCTTTAGAAAAATTTTAGGGTCCATCGCCAAAAATGAATATCTCAAAATAGTACAAAGGGGGACCCTTTGGGTCGGCAGGTAGTCGAATCCGTAAGGGAGAGAGCGTCCGCAACCCCCCCCCCCCCCCGCCTCTCCATAAATCCGCCCCTGAATATAACCCAATTTAGGAAACCTGGATCAAAATGTAAGCTCTTTATTCCCTTGAGAAGTCCAAAAATTAAAATCTATTTTCGAAACTAGAAATCGATATCGTTTTTTCGCGCAATGATATCAGCATTCGTAATTTTTGAACTTGACTTCAATTTAAAAAGTGCATGTACACCAGTGCATTCATATATGCACTGATATTTATGATCCCCTTCTGCAGTTATTGGAGCATTTTAAAATTTTCTTGAATAAAAAGTAATCATCAAGACCTACATAAATAGGAATAAATTCGTTCTTTTACACTTAGAATAATCGACTAAAGTTTTCATTAAAAACTTTGTTATTGTTTTAGTAAATGGCGACCAAATATGATGGAAATATCTCAAAAATGAGAGCTAAAAAATCTTAAAAAAAAAGTAGGTATATTGTAGCAGAACTACATTAGGATGTCAGCCTCTGGTCCAACTTCATCTGAAAAAAAAAACTTAAAACAAGTTTCCCGACACGAAGAAAACCTTTAAAAAGGTTTTTGGAATTCGATTCACGACTGAAAGAGCCTAAATTAAATACCACTTTTGACCAACTGCAAACTTTCTTTAAATTATTCAAAATCGACCTGAAAAATAACAAGCCCCCTCCCCCCACCACTCATTAGAGAATAGATGCTTCCAGTCACTTTCTAAGAGGCGGTCGGAACAATATACGTCTGTTCCCATCATAAACCCCTCCCAAAGACTAACAAAAGGTTGCAATTAAAGGTGTTGTGTTTTGAGGGCTGATGTGTCTATATTTAAGTGAGGACTCAGTATTGGTAAGAGCCCATTGAATTAATATGGCCTTTTTCATACCATTTAATTTTAATCGAGTTTGCATTGAAAATTAGCGATGGAAAATTGAAAAAAAAAACGACGACCGTCTTCAATGGTCTAACCCTAACGCTAAGAGCAAATAGCGCTAATTGACCAAGAATAACAAAATTCAATGCAGAATTAATCCTGGTTCATAGCTGGAGAATTCGAAAAACTTCAGCGATAAATTTTAAACTCTTTACCCAAATAGTAAATTTCAGAGCTGAAACAACACTTAACTATCGATGATTTAGCTATGATTTTTTAGCAATTAAATTTCAAAAAATTTACCGCACAAGCAAATCCCCTTGCTAAAATAACTCTAGATTAAAAATCAATTTTTCAACGTGTTCTGCTGGAAAAAAAAACTCATCAAGTGATGCATTAAGTTACAGTCATTTAACGAGAGATGCTTGCCGCAAACTTAAGTTTCAAGAGGACAGATCCTCCTAAAATTTAGTGATCTCTGGACTCCCGCCGTAGAGAAGAAGCAGCTTAGAGAAACTATTTACAAATTTTGGCTGATATGAAAATAAAACTTTTGTTATTCTACATCATCACGATGTATTATACTAAAAGCATAAATGAGAAAAAATGTAGAAAGTTGGAAAAATGTAAAACTTTGAAAACTGGTTTAAATTACCATAAGTGCACTTATTAGGTCGCACCTGTCGTAATATTTTCTGTAGACGCTTTTGAATGATATCATTTGAATGCCCCGAGGTAATTTTAAAGGCCCCGAGGAGTCATTTTTTTAATGAAGCAAATCATTTTCCTCAAGGCCTGTAGAGAATATTTAGTATGTGTATTTTGCATTCATTTTTTTCTGAAAAAACTTCAAAATACAAATTGATAAAGTAATTATTCATGACATCAAGTCATACAGCGAACCCTATCCTCAGCGAAAACCAATTCATCAATTTGACCGAAAAAGTGACATTGAAGGTTCAGTTAGTGAAAAATGATTATTCAAACTACAAATAATGTTTGAAACTGACTACGAGGTGTTTATAGGATTGGTACAGACTTCGTCTTATTTTTTTAATTAACAGATTTCGTCCCATATCCAACTTCTATTATCCCTTATCCAAATTTGTGGGACGAAATCTGTGTACGCTTTGAAATGGGACAAAATCTGTTGAAAATCAAAATGGGACGAAATCTGTCACAGCCGTTTGTTTGGACCATGTGAACAGTTCCATAACATGTTTTGACTCTCATTTGTCGTCTTATTTGCCGGATATCCCTTAGATCTAATTTCAACCATATTTGTTGATTTGCTATACTGACTTGCTGCTGTGGAGGTATGGACCGGTTACAGTTTCAATGGGCACTGGGGTAAGGAGCTCCCACTGGTCGTTGTCCTGGTAGTATGCCAGAGGCAACACACCTGCCTGGGGGACGGCTGAAATAAGGAACGACTCTGCTGAACCAGATGATTATGTGAGGACGAGCTTATTGGCATGTGTGCCGATTAGCATGTTCATGTATAAGAATGCAGTTTACTCTTACGCTTGATATTTCAAAATCTTGGTTCTCAAGTTTGCAATTTTTATATGGTGCTCGTCATCGCCGAAAAAAAAATAAACATTTCATTCCGTTTAAAAACAAATGATAAAAACCTCGTACCAAAGAAATGTCCTATATAAGTCAATGATAGTTTTTTTTTCCTGTGATATCAATTCTTGCTTCAAAGTATTTTGAAATATATTTTGAAATAAATTTCGAAATGAGCAATGTTTTTTTTTTCTTCATTTTACCCAAAAAAAATATCCCCAAAAAAGCAAATAATTATAAATTTTAAATCCCCAAAAGACCCTCCCCCCCTCTCCCCCCAAGAACAACAAAACTTTATAGTACTTACTGACGGTGTATATGCCGTCATGGGTGATCATGGGGGATATCTCGAATGCGCATTCCTGTTTGTCATATGGGAAATAGGTGACCGTGAAATCACATGACATTATGGCTGAAACTACAGTTGACCTTGTGATTATAAAGCCAGATGACCAGACAGTTTGTTTGTCGTAGGCGTCGTAGTTGATCCGCATTGCGCTCTGGATGGCTGAAAAAAAAAACAATTCTGGTTGAAACACATGTTGCAAAATATTTTTAAGCAAACATTACACCATTCAAATCCTCTTTTACGGGGGCCTATTCTCATGATGAAGGGACCGAATGATTGAAAATTTTCAACCAATGCTTATTTTGAAGTCGGTCAGTTTAAATCTATTGGCCGGGATTTCGAAGTTAACATTGAGTTTTGCGCAATTTCATTGAGTTTTTTGAATACTCAATTCCGACGGGGACTCATTAGGGACGGGGACTAGCCTATTAGCATGTGTTTCGATTAGCATGCCCATGTAAACAAATTAAGTTTAAAGACTTGCAATTTATAATTTTGTCTACTCAAGTTGCCATTTTTGTCAGCGTGCACTTAGCACCATTTTCAATTAGGCGAAAAATAAGTTCGTATTTCCATTACGAATCAAGTGGTTTTCGAAATAATTTAAAAGGTTAGGCTAATTTTTTTTTTGCCTGAAAGCACACCCAATTAAAAAAAGTTATCGCATTTTAAAGGGCACACGTGCTAATCGCTACGCCTCCATTAGGGACGCCACCCTCTTTTACAAATTGATCATATTCGTGACCTCTTTTTGAACTTTTGCTAGCATCATTGTTTTGGACAAAATTGAGTGGAAGGTTTGTCAATTACCAATAAAAAAAATTTGCTTTCTCGCAAATTTTCACGACGACACACACCTCACGAAAATTAGTTTGTTTTAGCCTATTTTGGGTAATTTCTTTTTGTTCCGACTTTTTTATACTTTTACCTTTAGTTTTTTTCAGTGAAATCGAAATGAATAAAAGCACAACCAAAAATAGTTTTTGGCACTTCAGCATATTTTTCGATTTTCAGCACTATCGTAGCTTGAAATATTCAGTGAATTATGCGAGAGAGGCCAATATACGATTATCATAAAACCGACGAAAAATTTTTTTGAAGTTTTGATGAGCATTCACTTGAATATAAGAAAAGACATCAGTTTCAAAAATTAAAATAGTAATTTCTTTTTCAAAATTAATTAGAATTCGGATCGGATTACGTTTTTTTGGGGGAGGGGGGGGGGGGGGGGGGGTTTGGTAAATCGGTCCTCAGATTCTTTCGTTTGGGCTGACATTGGGTTTTTTTCCAATTTCTAATTGACGAATGAGTATATCTAGCATTAACAACAGGCGTTTAACAGAAAAAAAAACAATTAAATTGTTTTTTGCACAAGAAAAGTTTGTGCTCTCATCAAAGCAAAACTGAGGTGCTTAAAATTTTTTGACACCAATTTTGTTATCTGAACACTGAAAATTTGGAGTATCTTTGTACTTTGGTGTGTTTTAGTTTTTTTTTTATTCCACGCAAAACTAGGTGTCAAAAATAATAAGTCGAGATATTTTGTTATATATCATACTAAATTCCCTTTTAGCCGTGATTAAAACAAAAAAAATCATGAGACAAAAAATTCAAAAATTTGTCACATTATCGAGAAAAATTGGTTGGCACGAAAAGCAATCGAGTAACTTTCGTTATGATTAGCAAACAATTTTTCAAAAAAAGATTTAGAAATTGTAATTATGATTTTCTCGAGCGCGGTTTTTTGAAAATTTGTCAAAAAATTGTTTACCTATTTGTTGACTTATGGCCGGTTATAGTACCAAATTAGTACCAAAGAAGGACCCTTTGGGTGGTAAGGCGGTCAATTCCAAGAGAAGGGAAGAAGCTTCCTCAATTTTTTTAGCACGTCGTACAATGATTTCACATAACGGAAACAAACATGATAGTAAGCGTTTCTTCAAGGAAGCCAGAACTAGTTTTAGTTCGGACAGAAAAGGTCATTTTCTGTCAGAACGAAATATTCAAGTAGAAGTTTGTAACATGAGCAAAAAAAGAGATCTTTTTCTTGTTATTATGTAAAGTGAACTGAACTGTTTACATCAATTCAGTCGAATCTAAAAATGCTGCTTAGGTGTGCAAATATTACTACTCAACTTCTGGGTTTTCTCCAATAAATCTCTGGCCCAGAGAATTGAATTATTAGCCTTTTTGTTCCACCCTTTTGAAAAATGTGGAGAATTATTGTATTAGTTTTTTTTCTTTTTTGTTTTCCACGCAAAATGAGGTATCACAAATAAACATCCGAATGGGTTGAGCGATATCCTAAGCTGAAAGCCTTTTAGTCGGGATTTGAACGACACTAAAAAATTTTCAAAAAAATCTCAGTGTTGAGAAAAACTGATATAAAAATTTTGGTTTTTATTTCAATTTTGAACGAATAAAGCGCGAGCGGGCAGGCTTACAGCAGCCTAGTTATCTTACTTTAAGCCCTGAAAACACAGTTTTAAGCAGGTAATATTAGTTTTTGGAGGTTTTTAGCGCCATTTTGAGAACCAACAACTTCTAAAAAACAACTCAAAAATTTTTTCCAAAAACAATGAAAAAATAAATTTTAAAACTTTAAATTTTTTGTAGTTTTTTAAAGACTCTGGTCGGAACATTCTGTGCTACTTGCACAATAACCGATTATTTTTGTTTCCATATATGAAATTAGTGAGATAATTAGCATTTTTCAACCCGGGTGTACTCACTCAAATCTGGGGTCCAGAAAGTGTCTTTGGGCACCGCCAACATCCGGGTCCCATTATACTCAGCGGGATCCCATTTTGCAGACGGAGAATTGTACCAATAATACACGAATAATTTCACCGTCATCAAACCATCTTTTTCATTCACGTCTACAATTTGGTAGATGTCAATTTTAACGGCGACTTGTCTGTATTTAAGGTCCAAAGGGGGCAAGCTTCTAGGGACTTTTTTGCGCAGTTTGTTCAGCAGTTTTTCCTGAACGTCGACTCCATTTTCAAGGTCATCCTCTTCAGTTGAAGTGACTTGGGCGGCGATAAGTGCGAATGAAATGGCGAAGAGTGTGAACAAAAGTAGGCAATTTATTCTCGCCATAATTTATCTCGAATATCGACTTTGTGAAGAAAAATGTGTACAAATACAAATCTGTAGTTTTTGAATTCAATATCAAACAACCTAAATTGTGGACCTGCCGGTTGATAATTAAAATGTAGATTGTAGACCTTCGAAATAGTTGTTGATTGTTTGAGATTATATGTTGTGCTATTGTAGAGGAAATTAAAATACTTTTTGTAAGTCAATCTGGTGCAGAAAACGAAAGGGTAAATATATCGTATTTTTGGAGATAAACAAAGATATAATCTGTGATATTATACTCTCGAAATTCTTTTGAGTTTTGTTTTGCTAACGAATGAGTATAAATGATTGATTATAAAATCGACAAGATAAAAACGGATTTCGAGAGCTGAGGTTTCGATCAAAGTTTCTGACGATGTTGAGATCTGATCTGAAGAGTTGCAGTCCCGAAATTTGTTGAAATTTTTCCAGTTGATGGTTACGATAATTTTTGATTAAGTCAAACTATCCAAAAATTTAAAAAATTTTTGAGCCCAGTCAAAGTATGCTTATTGAAACGCAAAATGTCTGTCAACGCGAGCGTAATTCCTGTTGTTTCAGATTTGCTCAGTTTGACTTCGTACACTCTGTTACACCTGTAATTAGACAAACAAGGATTAAAGCTAATCGTTTATTTAAATAACTCAGCTAAAGCCAAGATAATCGAAACTGAGTCCACAATCGCAAATTAACTGGAATGAATATGCCAGATGAAATATAGATGACACAAATTTAAAAAAAAACCGAAGGTTTAGTTTGTAATTTATATAAATATGAACGTTTTTTTTCTCGAAGCAGTTAAAAACTCCCAGAACAGGATCGAACATATAGCCAAAAATTGGAAATATTTCAGCAAAATTTAAAAAAACGATCTAGCTTCAATAAAAAGTTCAAACAACTTTGAATGACAATAAACTTGAGTTATATTTTTGAGACGTTATTGTAAAATGAGCTTTAATGTTGTGTTTGCTTTCCTATTCGCCAAAAATTCTTTCCCGCCATCTAAAATTGTTACGTTTCATAAAATACGCAAAAATTTTTTCCCTCCATGGAGCCGTTTATTAGCATTTCGCTGGGAAATAGTATGTCTTTACGGTTAGATAAAAAAAGTGGTTGTCCGGCAAATAAGACGACAGCTGTTAAGACGACAACCACTTACGATGAGATTTTAAGACGACGTTACACACAAAAGCATTACACACAGTTTCTGAAATAAATAATTCCTTAAATTCAAACAGATCTTTTTATGTCTTAAATCAAATTTGTCGTCTTATTGTCATGTCGTTTTAATATCTTGTCGTCTTATTTACCTTGCACCAAAAAATGTTCACTGTGGAACGCGTGAATGAACATCTAGTGCAAATGAACATTCACCGTATTTCAGTATTTTACCATCAGACGCGTAACGTTTCCTCTTCTTTGCCCAACTGAACAAAAAAGGAATTAAAAAAGGATGAAAGCAGAACCCGTGTATTTCCTTTTTTGAATATTTTTTTTATTTTACCCTGCAGATGAGAAATAAAAATTGTGCGACTTACTCGTAAAATAGGAGGCTATAATTATAGCCGAACGGACCGAATAGCCGAAACCAGTCAGCCAGTTTGGATGATATATTTTTCGGGTTTTCACTTATTCGAGCACAAGATATTCCCTGATAAAACCGGAAGCGTTCAAAAGTGCCTAAGTACAACAGTGCCGAAACTGAAAATGTGTTCAACAGTGCCGAAAATTGAGGATGTTTGAAAAGTTTGGATCTCATTAACTATATACCCCTCGGGTACCTAGAAATAATTCAACGGGCAAGCATATGAGAATTTAGTACCTAGTAACGAATCTCCCCCTTTTGCAAAAGGGGGATATAGTTAAAGAGATCCAAAATTTTGAGTTCTGTGTGCGAATTGCTGACGACTTGACGTTTGTTGACGTAAAAACAAACCGTGGAATTTCCAAGTGAAAAAGGCATTAGACGAAATCGGAAATTTAAGTGATAAAATGGAGCTACGATTGGAAGTGGTATTTATGGTCAGTGAATGTCAATCTTTAGTGCCGTTTTATAACCAGAAGGAGCCCACACAGCAGAAGAACCGATTGCCCGAAAAATTTTTAAGTCATTTATAACAAAGTTATGTAATAACAGAAAGGAAAGGATAACAAACGATTCAGTTCAAATTTTGGACATCTTTAGGGCTTTTGATCTATTGGAGTTTTCGGTTTATGAGAACAATGATTAATTTTCCGTTCATAATCCATCGGCTAAGGGAACAGCCCCCTTTTTTTAGTAAAAACTTCCAGAAAAGTGTGAAGAACCATCATTTTTTAAAACCAAAAGCGTTCATGCGCAATAAAAGGTTACTAGTTCAATTGAATTATTCAAGATTGTGCAATTTATGTCCGAGAAAAAAGATAAGTTGAAAAATAAATTACGCGAACTGATAAATTTCACCACCAAAAAGCATTTTAAGTTACAGAAAAAAGATAAGCTTGATTATTCAAAAATGAGCCTAGAACAAAGTACCAATAGAAAAAGCAAAGAACAATTTTAATCTATTCACTTTTGAAAAATTATCATCTAAAGTTAACGGATTTCTTTTAACTATTTCCCCCCTTTTGCAAAAGGGGGATATTCGTTACTGGGTATGAAATTCGCTTATGCTTAACGGTTGAATTATTTCATTATAGGAGTGGCAATTCGTTACTAGATACAAAAGGGGGGATGGTTAAAGAGATCCAAAACAACCAACCTTTGTAAATAAATAATAGCGAAAACAAAAAACATAACGTCAAATAATGCAAACGAAATAAAAAAAAATATTTTTTGTCTACTCAAAAGCCTATCTTCGATTCTAAATTCGGTTCTTTACAAGATACATAGGGGTGGGGGAATAGTTAACAAGATCAAAAGCTCATAATTTTTTTATTTCTTACCTGTATAAGTGTTTATAAACTTGAATGTAATGCAAAAAGAGTGCAAAAAATTCGACAGTCGAAAACGGTTTTAACTACTGATTCATACAAACTATTTGTTTTTATATAAGCTATTTGTTTTTTTTTTATTTTCACATAAATGACAACGAAAGTAGACAATTTTATTTAATACCACGTTTGGTTGAATAAATTCGCGTTCAGCGGTTGTTTCGTTTGTTTTTCTGCTTGATTTTATAATTCTTTTGTTTGAAAAAGCAGGCGCGCGTTCAACAGACTGCTAATATAAAAACGCTCTGAGAGCACTTTTTTCAATCGATTAATTTATCTTCTTAAAATTAAATGGTGCTTTTGAAGTCCCCTTTTCAATTCAGCCAGAGATTCCCTACGGCTACTAAAATGAACCAGAATTGTACCGTAATTGTCTTTGTGCGCAATAAATTTTTCGACTGAATTTGTATTTGAAAAAAAAATGGTTGATTCGAAACGTTTAACCAAATTTACATGCTGAAAAGCCGTTGGTGGGTGGGGGGGGGGGGGGGAGGATGCTAATTTGGTTTTGAGTTCGAATATTCATTTTTTTGGTTTAACAGAGAACAAAAATGAAAAAAATCTTGAACGTAATTGGATTTGCAGCACTAATCAAGTTTAAATGATTTTTTCAAACCGGCGAAGCAAATAAAGTTTTGAGATTTTAGAGAGAAAACATAAGCAACTATCACAGTTTTGTATGGTAATACAAAACTCATTTAACCATAACATCAGTTGGAGCCACCATCTGCAGCAAGCAAGTTGTTTGGTGATCAAAAACAATCGAGTTGAAATCAATTGAACGTACATTAATTGTGTTTGTGTTTAAACTGCAAAAATTGAACTACCAACATACTTACCAAATTATGCATTATAAAGCAAGAATGATTAAAAATTGCCAAGTTCGAGCTTGTCATGAGCTGTACAGCACACCCCTGAATACCATTCTCAAAAATAGTTTTTTTTGTTCTATTTTATTAAATCTTTTTCACTGGACAAATGCATTTTGAGCCTCCAAAGGAATTCAGAAAAACATGTCAGACAAATTAATAGCACCAATTAGCCCATTTCAAGGTTTTAAAATCGTTCTGAAAAAATTTTGAAGTCAAAATCTCCACTTAAATTTGCGCTACCTTGCTGTTTCTCTTAATTGAAATCTTTTTAACCAGAGCCGGACCTGGAATTTCAACGCAAATCGAAGCGCTTCTTTTTGAAAAAAAAATTAGCAAAACTTTAAACAAATGGAAAGTATTTTTAAGTGAACAAAAAATCATAACAAGAAAAAGCCGCAAACGTCTCCGAATCTGTTCTTTAAGTTAAAAAAATGGATACAAATTATGATTAAACTAGAAAAAAAATCCGTTTTTGTTCCGACTTTCGATACGAAAGTAACGGAATATTTGTGCTCGGGGTGGGTTTTTTTTTCTTCAGACAAATTTCGACTTTTTAACTAGCCATTTTTGAAGGAATTTTTTATATCATTCGAAAGATATTGTTGTCCTGAGCTCAAATTTGAAAAGATATTTCACCTGTGATCATTTTTCGTAAAGTTATGGGGGTTTAAAGATTGCCATTTTGGCCAATTTGGGACAATTAACGCGCGATATATTTCGCGCTATTAACGCGTAAGCGGAGAGTTAATCCGTCTTAGAAATCGTTCCAAATTGGTTAAAAGAAGCTTATTTGCCATAATTTATTTGTTACAAGTAGCGAAAACTATCCTTTTGTACTTTATATGGCGTGTGGGGGGATGGTTTTTATAAAAAAAAATTCAAATTTTTGAAAAAAAAATTTTCATTTTGTTTTGTTATTTTTAATTTTTTAATGTTATTACTGCTCCATAAACCTTAATAGGCAGTTGGAACTTTCAGGGCTTCGCCCTGATATGAGCAGTCTTGTTAATCTTTGTCATTCCCATCCTCAGCAGGATTTTGCAGTGCACGCCAGTAACTTATAAAACGAGCAGTTACGACAGAATCTTGGCTGCAGCGGTGTGTACTATAGTGGTGTGTACACCTGGCTGGGACCATACAGATCAAGTGATCGATCCGATCCCCCAAGAAACCAGGTTTTTGTAAAAATGGTCTGAATTAAACAAAATCACCGAGCATAGGTTCCTCTTTTTCCTCGAAAGTCGCAGCAATAATGATTTGATAAATCTTATAGACGTATATGAAATAATTACGATTGCTTGGTTTGCCTCAACGAATTTCCAGCAAATTTGTAGCGCGGCTGAATAATTTGCCAGGTATAAATAGTTTGCGGTACACTTTAAGAAGCAACGAACTTTTGGGCGAGCTGTTTTGTAAGACTCGTAGGAAACGTTATGCACGATGAGTATAATGTTCCCGCCTTTTTAAAACTAAACAATTTAACGTCATTAAGTTTCAAACCTACTTTTTGTTACCTTAACAATTTAAAACTACTACATTTTAAAATCCTTTCTATAACTTAACTCCGTTTTAATCAAAAATGAAAAGGAAATTTACTTCATAACGGACTTCGTCAAAAATCATAGAGTAAAGCAAAAAAGTGTTTCACAATATAAAGCCAGATAATTTCGCGTTGCTCAATTTGCATAAAATTTGAACAAAAGCGACCTTGCCAATAATTCGGAATGTTAAATTGATGCAAACCAAAAACAAGCAATTTTCACGAAATGTCCGAAACATTCACTGAACTGAAAGTTCTTTGACTGAATAGGGCGTGATTTTCCAGACAATTACGGTTTTAACAGGAAAAAAAGTTACATTAATGCCAAAAATCAAAAAATACTAAAAAACTTAAAAAAGGGTTCCATTTACGATGAAAAGCTAAAAATCATCAATTTTGGAATAATTATTGAGCTTCAAGCTATAATTAGCTTGCGTAGTTCAGCTTTTTTTGAAGTTTGATTTGTTGGCGCGGCAAAGATAAAAGGTCTCAAGCCCCTAGTCACAACCTAGCATAGCAAAAAGGGGCGATTGTACTGGGATTGAATTTCTAGTATATGAATCAAAGTTTGCGTTTAACTCATTTTTTGAGAGTTTACAAAGAATTGTCTCTTCAAAAAAAATCTGACCAAAGCTTAGGTAAGATTTGAGTTCGAATTTCAAAATGAAAAGAAACCAAACAAAAATAAAACAAAAATTACACTGGCTTACCACCCACTAGATAAGGTTCTGAAAAATCTCAAATTTGATTCGTCTTCGCCGACAGAAAAAAAATATTTTTAACTTTTTCATTTGAAACGCTTTACTTTTTCTTCTTTGTTAACTTATGGCCACTCGATGCGTCAGTTGTTAAGTTTTTTGTGAGACGGCGTTTCGTTCCAAGCTGTCCATTACCTTGAAAGTATTTGAGTGTCGCATACATTCTGAATTTCTTGCGCAATCAAATCATAGGACCCGCCAATATTTTTTTTCGAATTTAATTCATTTGCGACACAATTTATTGATTTTTCTCTTGTTACTACGTGATAAAAGAAGAAACAACCCGATAATTGCGCTCCGCGGAATTTTTTTATTGAAATGACTCAATAGGAGCTTGCTTAAACTCTAACAGAACTTTTGCAGGCTGGCATTTTTGTCTGAAATCAAACAAAGATTGCAATTACCTAAAGTAGAATTTTTTGCAATTGTTTGGAAGGAAGTGGTATGAGTAAAATGGTGCAATGCTATATCTTTAGATGAAAAGAATATAGCAAATAGAAGACTTAAGAGTATTTTTAAAGGTTTCGTTGGCTAACTGGGAGAATATTTTTCCAAGTGTCTCAGTTTTGTTGGATCACCACACGAAATTGCTCTCTCATGATGATTTTATTCACTGTCATACTGGACACAGTTTTCAGAAATCTCAAATCAGTTTACTTTTAGATAGGAGGGAAAACTCAGTGGTTAAATCATTTGCTACTGGTAAGACCTCACTCGGTGTAAAATTTTAGTTGAGCTTTTTTGAATGCTTGATGACTTTTCGACCATCTGATTTTGCCGCTGAAATGACATGAGTGTTCTCTCCACGCGTCACGAGCAATTCGTTATTTATGTGATAACAGATGATCGAACTTGAAATAATTTTCGTGACCCGATGCTAAAAGACTTGGTTTAGTTTTATTTGAAGCTGTGAACTGGAAATAGCTAATTGAAAAAAAAGACAATTTTGTCCAAATGTTTGTCCATAATTGAAAAAAAAATACAAATTTTTCAACTTGATGCGCTAATTGCAGGATTAAATTTGGTGTGATTGGAGTTAGAATAAGGAGTTCATGCAGCCTTAGTTTTGTTGTTAGATGATAAATGGAGTTCAATTGATGTGGATTTAAAATGTTTGGTAGTGAATTGTTTCTTATTAGAATTAAGAAAACCGAGTATAGTGGAAACACGAACAGTAATCATCCACACACTCAGCTGATATGCTTTTGGGTACTGCTTA